GGGCGTCGATAGCCTGAGCCAAGTATTTGTTGACGCGATTGGTTCCCTGATGGTAGACAACTGAGTGCCTCTTCTTAAACGGCTTCCGCAACTTATCCGTCACTTTAAACTAACAAAAATAAATAATAATTAAATAATTACCCCTTAAGACCACTGACAGGAGACTCACTTTTTTGGGCAACTGATTGTCCATATTTGTGGTCTGAATGTTAACCGTCGGAATCATTGCCATATTAGCGAACGGAACGTCAATATTGTATTTAATTGAATGCAATAACTGTATGACAACATTGGATACATTCTTAAACGATAGCTTTCGTTTGGCAGAGCCGGCCAATTGTCTCACTTGCAATGTGTTAAATAGAAATGGCTGTAAATATAGACAAATATTGATATTTTAAAGTAATTTAGTGTAAAAACATTCGCAAAATGCATATGAAAACACTAATCATTGAAAGAAAGCAATTAATTAGCATTTAAGGAAAGAAATGCAAAACAAATTTAATTAAATTCTTTACAAATAAATATAAAGTATTTTTAATATTAAATAAAATAATTAAGAATTTGTAAAGAATTTCCAACACATGAGAAAGTGAGTGTTTATAGGAAAGTATATATTTTCTAGAGGTTTGCTCATTATTATTATCGCAATGAATTTCGTGTTATATCACTGATTCTGTGTCTCTATTGCAATGCAATTAACAAATATAGTGAACGCGTTGTTTGTATTTTATGGAAAAACTAACAGAAAAATGTTGAGTTATTAATATTGAATAAAACTCAATATACAGTGCTTTAAATGTGATCAATATATCTATGGTTTGTGATATGAGTGCAGTTATGATAGATTTAGGCAAACATTGTTATAGACTTTGATTGTGAATCCGAAGGCAATGGCAATAAGATAGCTCTCAATCACTACTTTTATTATTTGCTTTATTTATTCCTTTTGACCCTTTCTTTAGTATTTTATGTGAATCTAAATCAATATTATTCTAAACTATTTCTGTTTGCATTGCATTCAAAGAATATTCTATACATTTTGATAGTTTTGATGCTTTTAATCAATGAAAACTCCAGAATTAAATCAATTCAAACATTGAATAAATTGAAATTTATGTCAATTCTAAACAAATGTTAATTTTTAAATAAATATTTAGGAGAATATTATTAGAGTTTATTTAAGGATAAATTCATGTCGTATTCAATGTATAGGTCTATGAATTAAATATTAAATATAAATAAAATGAAACAAAATGTCAAACCTTTCGTCTATGCATCGGAGGAACAATGAAATAAGTGATGACATTATGCTCTCGTAAATAGCCGTTCCTCTCAGCGCCGAAACCATTCTCCACCTCATACTCGTCGTGAAGACAGTCCAACGTTGCCTGTGTTATGTGCACTCGACCCGGCACTCCACCCGCTTCCATGTGATTCGCTGTGAACCACATATTATGCAAGTTTTACAATCACACAAAAAAGAAAGAAAGAAAGAAAGAAA